ACAATATATAGTCTGGAATCATGGGCAACAGAATATATACATTAAGTGAAGTCTAAGATTCACTCGAATTTGATGCTGCTGAATTCTTCCTTACCCTATTTAACACTGTTATATCACAAAGCGTGATATTATGAATTTTTAAGACAATTTATTCAAGATTTTCTTGTCTCCCTGTGAAGAAAAGTAATAGAAGAACAATGAATAAATTATTTTCTTGAGTAAATATTCAACCTTAGTAGCTAGAATTTTATCTCAATATTTCTTGGACTAAAAAAGAGTAAAACATCTAATATATTTGCTTTCAATCAAATCACCAGTTTTATTCGATTCGACGTCAGATTAGAATTAGACTAGCAGTTTTGCTAGTCATTAGTCCGGACTAGATGAAACTATAAACCATTAGATCTATATATGTTCTTTTTTACGTCAGTTTAATTTCATCCAATATTATCTATATTTCTTTCTCTATTTTATATTTTTCAATGCACTTCAATCAAGTGCCAATGACTTTTGTTGACTCACACCATCGATTTCACATTTCTCCTGCCTCACATGGCACAAAATAAATTGAATTTTTCAATGCAATTTATGTGTCTCGTACTATTTTTACACACAAGTATCAAATTAACGAAACCTAACTAATCTTCTGTCTTTACTGGTGACGTTCACTTATTCAAAAATTGAATAAATATTCGAAATTTGATAAAGTAGAGATCTTCACCACAATAGAGTTCATATGTATTCGGAATTATGAGTCTCAATGAGTTCTTCTTTCATTGTAAATATCAGTATTTACGTGAAACAAGACATACCCAAGAAGACTTTTCTTCCAGAAACTTAGGGGTTAATAAAACTCGACAATATGTTCCTCTAATGTAAGTAGCCGTACTAGTAATTACATAAATACACAAAAAAACAAATTCCTTAATTTGTATGTAATCGACGAAGTTTTCATCAGTTGAAGTTTTTAGTGAAAAGGATTGGTATATGCCACTTTCTTTTATCAATTGACTCAGCTATTTCGACAAGTAGGTTAATTCTTACATTCATACAAGAAATTTGTTAGATTTCAACAATTTATCGAAACATTTTTGTGAATACCAAACTAAGTCAACACTACTTGAAAATTTTAATAACTCACAAAATAAGAATAAACCAAAATCGTCTTCAAAATGACTATCATACACTATGCTCAAAATTTGACAATACTGATTGTTTTGAATGAAAAAAAAAAGATAGACTACAGAGGTCAGATTAGCATTAATATAAAAATTAACCTTAATGCTTTGATATTGTTTGCATTAGAATTCATTAATGCCAAACTATTAGCATTACATTAGCATTATTTTTAATTCTAATACTTATACAACGTGCGACTGTATTTCCTAAAAATTTATGTTCCGAAGTTTCCAATACAATAACAAATGTTTTGTTGTACCCGGAAGTGTCATTCTAAAAAAAGAACAAGTATCTTTTGTACTCGGAAGTGTTATCTTCTAAATGGAACCAAATAGTTCGGTTCTGTGAACTTTTGGACTTAGTGTGTTCGAGATCTACTCGTCAGTAATCTATATATTGCAATTAAAAATAATGCTAATTAATTGCTAACATTTCGCCATTAATTATAATGCACATAAAATCAAAACATTATATTACTTTTTATACGCATTAACATTAGTATTAATGACTGTTAGTATTAATTTTAATGCAGCATCTATGACGTGGACATTTTTTGGAGCAATAATATAATTTACAGGAAATTTCTACTATATCACGTAGAACTTTAATAATTTGTTTATATTTTGAAAACCTTTAGAAAGTAGGAAACAGCAAGATGACACAATTTTTTATCTAATAACGATAATTTCAAGTAGATTAATGCATCAAATCATTTGAATTTCTTCAACTGGATATAAATGAAATTTAATTTTGTTGTATGAAAAACATCGTGCACTGAGCCAAACCTCATACGAAAACATTCTGCTACGTCTAGTTTGATTTGTTTAATAGTATTCATTTAAAAATGAAATCAACTCAAATTCATCAGTATCTATTTTATGTACAAATCTCTATATCGATATTTTCAATAATTGCATAGTCCATAATACAATAAATAATAGCAGCATACATTGAGAAAGTAATTACACAAAAGTGTAAAGTAGACATATAACTTTCCTGTCAACATAATTGGATGAATCTCATGATACAATGACAGATTTGTATACTAACTATACATCCGAGTCAAGTACACAGTTTTGTTGTTACCGTCCCAATTTGAATTCAATATAAACAATGACATCATGTTGAAGCTAAGAAAATCGCCAAGACCAAGAGATAAATAATCGTGTTTATGAAATGTTTCAACAATAAACTTGATTATTTCATTAATATCTAAGTTGTCATTTGCCAGTTTGATCAGTCTCGAGATTGATCCTATCCATTTGAGTAATATAAAAATTAATGTCATTTGTGTATTTTTTGTTTATCTTGAAAGTCATATGGATAATATAGTTCTGATGATGAATTTACCCATGACATATTTAGAAATATTTTGTATAAACGTTCGTCAACGTGAAGACAGATGAAACTAGAACATGAAGAAATAATTTGTTAATATAAGAGAAAAACAACATTGGACAAAACCCTTTTTCAAAACGAAAACTTTTATTTTCAACAAAAATTCATCATGTTCGAATGAATGTATCCAAAACCAAGTTCTAATAGTGCATTTGTACGTCAACAATAAATTTCAGCAAATTATTGAAACTGTATTCATTAAATACTTCATATAACTTTACTGAAAATAATTTTTATCTAACTTCCATATTTTTGCATAAGCACAACCGCGATAAAGCCAAGTTGCGTTGAGTAGGCATATAGTGAAATATGAAATCATAGAAGAGAAACGCTGTAAAAGAAGTCGACACACATAATGATCCTTGTTGAAGAATTAAAAATGGACACGAAAGATTGTGTTCTTTCCATTATCATATAAGACATATCTATTGCCACATGAGTAAATAAAAAGTGAAAATATCCACATGACTGCACAGATTTTGATCTTCGCAATAGTGAACTGATAGCCAAACAATAAGAATCGTTCTTATTATTGAGTGTACACGTCTCAATATTTGTTGATTGTAAGAATATAAAAATACGTTAGCGATAAAAACAAAAAGTGAAAATATTAATAACTTTTCAGCGTTGATATCAATCAAAAGGTTTCAACAAAGCTTAAAATCTATATGAAAATTAACGTTATAAATCACTCAATATTTAAGAAATACATACTGTGTCGGTCGTCAAAACAATAATCTAAAACAAAAAATAATTATGCATTCTATCGACAACATAGTGTCAAATCAATGAGCTAGTCACTCCAGGTTGTTGTAAAACACAATCAAGTACAAATGTTATAAACATACTAAAAGTAGTGTCCATCAGTATGTTTATATGAGTGTTTACCATGCGCTGATTTCTATAACTATATATATATATTAATTAAAATCTCAAATATCTAATTGAGGAACTTTGATCGAATTGACGTCAGATAATTTTATAAAATAATATCAGTGGCGTCTTTAACGCTGATGCAGCACTCTTGAGAAGAAACAAACCTAGTCCAAACGACTAAACGTACTCTTCAAATATACTCTCTCATGCTCTCGATTTGGTGAAAATTATATAACTTGAATGTAAGAATTCATCCAGAATTCGACTATCGTATGATAAATGAATTGAGAAAAGCGAAAGTACCTGTATATTTTATATGATATATGCGCATCTGATGATGATGATGATAGTAGTAAAAGAAAGTAGATGGGTACAAATACTACGGTATAGATCTTTCCAACAGATACTGATAGATACAATTATTGTTTTTAATAAGGAAAATAGTAGAAAGGAATAAAGTACTTGATAAATTTCATAAAAAACATTGAAGATTAAGTATACTGCAGAACGAGATGATATTGAATCTTTTTTTTTCATACATGATATGTGCCTAACTCAAAGCTAAATGATTATTCCAAGTCAACCTCACACATTAGAGATTAAAAGAAATTTCTCAATCTACCAAAATGACTTTCTAACTATTTGATCATACAAAATATAGATATTTCAATCTCATTCGATGACATTGAACTTAGAACAATTCGGATATAGATTGCTGATGACGAACCATTCATTTATTTTCTTTCACTAGTGATAATCTTATTTTATTCATGTTAAAAATGCTACTATGAAAGACATTATTATAATTATTTTTAAGCACAGAAGAAAAAACGCGTCCATATAAAGGTAGTCACACCTATTCTGTTGATGGACAATTGCATATAAGTGTTTAAAACATATTTTATTCTTTTCATAGCACTCAAAGAGTTGCTAGAACACTGCACTAAACATAAATATGATAGTTCTGTAGATAAATTGAACAAAGTAGTTTCCCATCGGAGTGATGAACCTTGAAACATGTTGTGTCTCGAAAGCTTTGCTATTCAACCATTGTTTCAATTGAGCATAAGACAAAATATAATTGGCAAGAAAAAAACAGTTCAACATCATTTCATGTGAGAAGTACATTAAACATATGAATTGGATAATTTATTTAACTTTAATCATGGTACAACGAAAGCTCTTTCGGATCACTTTCTCGACAACATTTGCAGAGAATTTGTCTAAGTAAAAGTTAAGTTGAAGAACATAAATTTTGTATCTTTGTCGTACGAAAAGAAGAGTTTCGATGATAAATTTGATCCACTATGTTGCAAAAATTCTTTTTGAACTCACGCAGGATTCGTGCGCGACATTGTATCATCTATATCTTCGTATTCGACACAGACTCTTTTCATTGTTAATGGTAAATATTTTCTTAGCAAATCATGTCATTGTATTCCATCGAGAAACGGAGGTTGTCTTCTCGGTATTGGAATTTTCATAGGAGGACGTGCACAAGAAAATAAACCTAGTGTCAATAAAGTTTTAGGAGTTACGAGTTGGAGTCATTTTTCCATATTTTTCAATACCACCAATGGGTACTGATACACTTTGATGTGACGGAGTGTAGCAGGATATTTCACAGATGTTTTCTCTCTTAATTGACTTCGATAATACTGAATATTTTGTGGTGGTGCCGCTCGTTTCATCGGTATTCCTGCATTGCCATACATGCACATTGTGAGCATGCTTAATTTTTGAAATCGATAAAGAAATGGTATCAAATGTTGAACATTGAAAAGCCATATTGTTAAACTTACGATAGTATCATTAACCACAGTTGAAGGTATGTAAGTTATTGGATCAATTCCTTGTGAATGTTGTAATGTTAAATATTTTAACAATGGCATTTCCGTCAGTATATATCCAAATGATTGAGCAGCACGCTCACCAACTCCAGTGTATGTCATAGTGTTGAATATAATCTTTAGACTTATTAACTGATCTTTGACATTTCTCAATATTGTTGGTATTCGATTTTCGAATTCGCAAAGTGGCACGTCGAATAAAGAAAGTGATTTAAATCGTTTTCCATTGGGTGAACTGAAAAATGTTTCTAATACGCCGACATTTTCATATAATAATGTAACCGAAATTATATTTTGTTCACAGAATATCTGCTGAAATGTTCGAAAAAATTTTGTTTTGGTTCGAGATAAATTCAAATAAACATTGGGTATGTTACAAACAAGCTAATTGAATCGACTATTGAGACCATAGAAAGATCTGAAAATTTCATTGCCAGTTAGATAATCAAATAAATCGAAGAAAATTTCGGACAACAGTTGTTCAAGCGTTGTTACTGTATACACATGACTTCGGCGTGTTGAACGTGTCTTTTGAAGATTTGCCATTTTGCTCTGTCGTCGTACACGCCATATAATATGAAGACAAACACTCTTTTCATTCTTTCCTAGCGAAACACAACAGAATTTAAACAGAAAAAGTATGAGCCAATATCAATGAATAAGGGTGCACATCAATGTTTCCCTCCATAGTTTAACAATTGTAATTCATCTCTTCTCTCCACTTCAGTATTTCTTCAACAAGAAACGTGTTGTTTGTTTACTTATATGATGAATTTCTTCGTAAAAGGTTTCATCAAGTTGGCGCAATAAAAAAGCTACAATCAGTTAGAAGCAACAAACACTGCTGTACCTAGAAAAATAACTTCCATTATTAATTGAAAGGAAAGTGAGAACTTCTGAAGATTGCTAAATAGGCCAAATAGAATTCCTTGTTTACAAATTTGGCCCATTAGATGTATTCTGTCGTAATAACCGTACGAGACTGAGACTGAGTTGTTCTACATTGACAACGACTCTTTGTGTGATGATGAATCAATACTATTGCTTGTACCACGCCAATTTATTAAAAGATTCCATTCTTGTTTCTGAAAAAAAGGGCATTGTGAAAAACACACCTTCAATCTCTATACAAACACAGCACAACTACCAAGATAAGCCCAAGCTTCAAGAACACAATACGAATATTCGTCAACTATAGATTTTGTCCAAAGCAAACCAATATTAAATAATCGTTCAGAAAAGCGCACATTCGTACAAGATCTGAAGTTGTACTTTATCTATCTTTTGCAGCCTCCTTTTTAGAGTGAAGATAAGTCGAAGGACATTGTTCACTTGACGAGTTCTTAATTGTGTATGTGTTCTTTTTCGAAATACGTTCGCCATTGTGCATTACTAATGGAAGTGAGTAAACATCGCGCCATATTTATATTATTTTTTTCGTGCTTTATGCAGCGCATATTCCAATAAAATGAATAAAACATGAGAAAGAAGCCTTCGTAATGTCATTAACGGAACAATATATCAACAGTCGACCCTTATATAGGTGTCTATCACACAACTATGTTGTTTTACACTATTGGATGATGATAAGAAACCTCATCTTCCTGTAATGTTCCATGAAGCTCATACAAAACAAAATAGAAGTGATTGAAAAAAAAACAACCAAGGCAACTTGTCTTGAAAAATAATAGTTGATGAATACTTTCACATGATCTCATTCGGAATTTTAGCTGCCAGAAACACTGCTGGTCACTGATGAAGATATGATAAAACAAGGGCATAAGCCGAAATCTATTCGGTTATAAAAAGAAAAACACTTTTCGAACTTGATGAAGAATAAAAGAACGTGCTTATATCACAAGGCAGTTAAAGATCTCAATTGTGATTGGCTAGCAAAGGACGTTAACTAGGAAAAGGATCTAAAAACAGCTCTGCCCCGTTCTGAAAATGCTTCACTACGAATGCCATCTGTTGTCGAGATAACTGAATTCGAATAAACAGTCCAGGTTTTTCTATATTAAGCTTGCTAACCTAAAAACAGAGGTGAATGAGAGTGTTATTGTAATTAATACAGTAGAACCTCACTGTTGTGATTTGAGGATGGCTGTAGTAGTAGGTGTCAGTGAAGAGAACATTCTTCACACCCACGTCCTATAAGAAGAAAAATAAAACAAAGCAGTACATCTTCATTAACCATAAAGCCGATTGTATTCTAAATGTTGAGATAATACATAAAATAACCAGCTACAAACACATCATTAATCATTAACCTTATCGCATTAATTGAAGTTCTTCACTGAGCTTTATTCTAAGTGCAATCTTTTGATAGAAACTGTTAATCCGATGTTCACTAAAAGACAAACCTTCGAATATTTCTTATTTCCAGCATTAATTTTCGAATCAAGATTGTCGATTTGAACAAATGAACTTTCAATCTACATAGACAAGTCAAAACAATCGACTTTTCAATTCGCAAGAATAAAAACGAACATTAAGAATCACAGACATGCAGTGTATGATCACAGCATCTATTAAATGGAAGTTTGCTTGTCAATAGCTGGCTAGCGTAAATTTTCAAACTGACTCAGCATTGTAATAAAAGACCAATCATTGAAGCCTCAATTTTCACTGTGGAAATGCGACACTACTAAGAAGGTGGGATATCACCAAAGTTTTGGCATAAGATCATGTCGAATCATGTATAAATGTAGCATATTCTACAGATTCAATCTCATGCGACAGTTTTCTGCTTTAAAAGTTCAAATATCAATCGTAAGAAATTGGATTGAACGAGAACAAAACGATGTCACATGAGTTAGTACAAACCTTTATGGATTTTATAAAAGACGATCTCAAAAACGTCTTCACTATCCTTGTTTAATCGTATGTACAGGTGTATTGAACATTGAGGACGATATTTTGAAAAACTACACTTGAACCAGATTTGGAGCATTTTTCTAGAGGGCTGGCTAAAAATTTTTGGAATATCCTTGTACTAATATTTTTTTTCTTTTATTCTTTACCGTGGATTATTCCTCTGTTTAGTCCGAGATCACAATTAAATGCATTTTATTAAGTCTCATTGTGGTATGCATAGTGTTTATTGTTGGTATCATCATTTTTATGTACGCTAATACCTGATCTTCGTACTCGTTTCGAAAATTTCATACTATACGATAGTAAGTAACTAAAGTTAGAGATATTCATTATTTCAAAAAAAAAAGAATCATTTAATATTTTTTACAAGACAATTTTTTCCTCAACCATATGCAAAGGGTATGTGATCATTTATATATATATAGTGAGATTTCAATGCTTTTCGATTCAATGAAATAAATGTCTTCTCCATTTTGAATACGTTCATTCAATATAGAAATCAATTTTATTTCAATAATAATTTTTACAAGTTTATCAATATATGCAGAAAGAAAATAGTTCTCAAAATGTCCTGGAGGTTGAGTAATAGAAATACTAGTAAGTAGATAATGTACTTTTGAACAATTAAATTGTATTGCATTTCTTTTAAAATTATGTGTTATGTTTTTCATTGATTGATAATCACAAAAAAGACACATTAAATGGTAAATATGTTTTTGTATCAAGTAAAAATTGTTCAATATAATCTTTATGAGCTTGAAGAAAGTTAAGTTCAGTAAGATAAGGATATTTAATGATAGATAAATTTTGATGATGATTATTTGATTTTATACATTGTTTATTGTTTTGTCCTTTGTCATTAACTAAACATAATCTTTTTAAAAATGGAAATGATTGAGAAATTTGAAGAAAAAATTCATGTTCAAAAGGATGTTCATCAAACAATGAAATGTAAAAAACATATTTTAATAATCCACCTGAAAAATTATTTGTTGTTTTATTATAATACATCAATTGATATGGATATGAATAAATATGACATTGACTTCGATTTCTTTTTTGAAAATAATCAATACAAGAAATAATTTGATAATCTTTAAAATATTTGAATGTTTGATGAATAGCTTCATTTGGTCGTAAATCAATTTGATTAAAACCTCTGCTAGATGAGAAAATATTAAATGTAAATTTATTTAATCGTGGCATATAATTAAAAATATTTATCATCAATTCATCATCATCAATAAATTTATTTATTTCATAAGAAAAAGTTAAATTAAGTGTTTCTAAATTAATCATTCGATGTAGAAGTGGTTTAATTTTCACAGTGTAACAAAAAGTATGTTAAGTTAGGAAGTTTTTCCAAGAAAAAACAAAAGCAATAATATTGATTTATTTGAATAAATTAGGTATACTTTATTATTGATTTTTGAATTTTGATCGATAAAAGTAATACCACCCTTAAGTGTATGAAGTTGATTAAAACGATCATCAAGTAAAGCAAGACAATCTTCAAAATAATTCAAATTAATACATAATTTGTAAAGAATTAAAGACGAATAGATTGTCAAAGGTAAATTACGAAGTGATAAAAGTGAATCTAATCTCGTAATGGACAAATGTTTTAGATTTTTGAAGAAGTTTAAAATATGTCCATGCACATGTTTTTGATATTGTCTCATTAATATAATGTTTTTATCATCTTCGTATATAATAATAAGATTTATAATTTATTGAAAAATACGTCGTCGAATAGGTGACTCCACTAAATATAAGAACAATTACATACCACTTTTTCATCTAAATCTATGTTCAGATCAGCACGGGAACTCTTTTACCTGCAAAATGCTGTGCAAAGATTGGTTCGTTGAAGTTTGAAGATTTTAAGTTCAGTTAAATTAGGACAATTGGCAGAAAGAAGAATACGTTGCACAGATACTGATTCGAGAATGAGAGATTTAACATTGTGATCAATTCTTGGCAATATGTTGATATAGAATCGATTAAGTATTGAGTCATCAATAGAGAAAATATTATCATTTGGCGTTATTAATACAAAATTAAGAGATTTAGTGAAAGTTTTTTCTGGTACCAAGTTGGCAACTCGTTGATTACCAATATTCATCATGGAATAGAGAACATCCATAATGTCACGTTTCATTAAAATAATAATTAATATTTCATTTGGTAGGTCAAGCAGACTAACATTTGACTGATTCATGTTATTTTTGACAAACGTTTTTGAAACATGCATATCTATATTTATATGTTCATTATTTGTTTGTATCGATTGTCGCCATTGAACAAAATGAATGCATGATCACGTCAAAAAAACAAAAATGCTTGTGAGAAAAAACCAAGGGGGAAAAAGCGTATTTCTAAGTATTTCTCTATTTCAGAAATACCTAGAAATACTTAGAAATACTTAGAAATACTTAGGAATACCTGGAAATACCCGGAAATACTTAGAAATACCTGGAAATACTTAGAAATACCTGAAAAGTTAAAGGTATTTCTAAGTATTTCCAGGTATTTCCAGGTATTTCTAGGTATTTCTAACTATTGCTAGGTACTTCTAGGTATTTCTACGTAGTATGGGCAGAAATACCTGGAAATACAGAAATACGCTTTTCCCCCCTAGAAGTAACCCTTTCACATAACTAGCTGTAGTGGAGAGTTCCATTCAATCATCTAGCTTTAATAGATGCTATGGTTCTCAGATTTTCACAAACTTCGCATCATTGGCATGATTGGCTAAATAGAAAAGTNAGAATTTTTACGCTCTATGTTTTGTATTGATGTGACGAAGTCAAAGAATATGTGTGAGTTCCACATTTGAGCCCCAAATGGGGCTATCCTGATATGCTTTCTTTGATTCGACATGTATTCACCTCCAATGTAATCAAGATATTCTAAAAATTCTTCTAGGAACTATCAGCCAAATAAAAATACAATTTGAAATTCAAAATATGAAACCGAATCGTTCATAACTAAAATTTCTGATTTAGTACTATTTTGATTGATTTCAAGCTTTCATTTAATACATGAGTCAATCGTATTTGTTTTGATGTTTATTAAAATGAATCAGGCTTTTTCTATTTTTCATTTCAATATCGATCTTACAGGAAACATTTTTCTAAAACAAGCCGTTATAAAAATCAATTATCTAGAAGGATTATCTATAGCAAAGAAAATAGCTCAACAGATGATAATAAACGAAAACTATGCCTGAATAGATAGATCGCAAAAGTTTAACGAAGACATGAGATTTATTTATAGTATTCTAATTTGTAACGATTGATACATAGAAATATATGATTAGCCAATGGATTCAATGTTATAGTTTATATAAGTACTTCAATAGCCTAAGAATCACTGTATGACAATATATTAGAAAAGAAGAAAGTACTACTCGACCAATAGACTAAAGATCAAATGGCTGAGTAACCAGTCATGACTGGGTCCCAGTCAGTGACTGGGTGTCAGTCGGACTGGGTGCTCAGTCCGACTGGATGTCAAGTCGGACTGGATACCCAGTTCACCAGTCAGGACTGGGACTAGTGCATCCCTAATCATAGAAAGAAATTTAACAAAAACGAAATTAATTTATCTTAACAAACATTAACTATATTATCAGTAAAATTATGACGTAGTTGAATAACATTCCAAGCTTTTCGGTATTCCATATATCTTTGCATTTCTGTACCACCACCACCAATATGAAATGATGATGAACATACAGTTAACATTGGATTATTAACCATTAAACATGAACAATTAGCCGATGCTGTTTGATCGAAATCAATTGCAATACCTGTACATTTCACATTTGCTGTTTTAGCTAAAAATCCTGATATAAATACATCACCTATCCAAGCTGTTTTATCTACTGGATATGTATATGATACATTTACAAGTTGATCACGAATATATTTTGACATAAACCAACCAAAACCAGAACAATATGCTGGAAGTACAGGATGCGGCCAAACTTTTTCACTAACACCAAATTTTCCACCACCACGTAATGTTGGTTGATAATCCATAGCCCAACCACCACGAAAAAATGTTGTTCGATCAGATGATATTATATTTGATATAAGTGTTGGACGATATTTTAATAGAAAAGCATTATTATTTGAAATATTTGTTAGAAGTAATCTAGCAATAGATGATATTAAAATTGTATCAACTATTAGATCATCATCTGTTTTAAATAAATATGGAATATTTGGATAAAAATGATATGACCATTGTAAAGCAGCCATTTCTTTATAAACAACATTTGAATAACTTTCAATATGATCTATTTGAACAATATCTTGAGATGTCTTTTTTTCATTATTAACTTTCATATTAATTTCACCAGCATTACTTATTGTACCTGGAACTTGTCCAAGAATAAATACAAAACAGACACCATTCTGTTTTGATGCCCATGTTGAACGTATTACATCTCGTCGTTGAACATTAATTATTGTCGATAAAATATAAATAATTAAATAATCATTTTTTTGACATATCGCTGTATTTGATGTTAAATCTAATCGACTATCAAGATATTCAATTGAAGAATTATTAATTTCTTTTGGAACTTTAGGTAATGCCACAAGTGGTTTTTCAAATAGTTTAACAGGTGGTATTTCATGTAATTTTACATGTGCTTTTTCACGTAAATTGATATCTGATTTTTCAAGTAATTTAACAGTTGGTATTTCGTTCAATTTAACATGCGGTTTTTCAAGAAATATCTTACGATAATATGTTACGTATAAACCAATAGTAAATAATATTAAAAATATTATTACAGATGCCTTTGATGAATGGCTTTTTCGAATGAACCACATTCAAAATGTAACATTAACACATTTAATATAATAAGAAAAGTCTAGAAGAAAAAGAACAGAATACATATGTTGGTCTGATTTATAACACGTAATTTATGTTCTTTTCTCGTTTAAATTATTTCATTACAGTTCTTCTATTTAACAAAGATAAATTTCGATTTTTTTGAAAAAATGTGGTTAGAATAAATCTTTGAAGCTATGTAATAAATCAAAAATATTCATTACTTCTACTGATATAAAATCATTTTATTATAGACCATATAATCCGACACACTAATGTACTAAGTTGAAAACTTTACCTCTTTTCTGTTTTATTGTTATAACACCACAGTTTTGTAATATTCCATAATTATTTTGTATATATTTGTTATAATATCATATAATACAAAAAAATTGAATTTCTTACAATAATGATAGTATATTTGGCAGCAAAAAAAAGATCAAATACTGCTGTTTACACTGAATTCTCTTTAAAACTTTCAATAAATTCGATCAAGTCAAACAATAAAAAAACTAGCTGTATTTACACGTTCTTTCATTCTTTCTTTAGATGATGATTACGATTCGAAAGGAAGACTGTCAAAGTAAAGTGAGCAAGCAATAAGAAAGAATGAGCAATATATCTACAACGAGTCTGTTCTTTTTTCTAATTTTGCTGTTACGTTGTGTTCAAAAAGAAAATTGATTAGAAAAAGTAGCAACTAATGCCTTTCATATTTTATTCAAAAAAAAAAAGAAAATGTTTCATGTGAGTCGTTTCGCTGCTCATTCGTCTGAAAAACTACAACCATGCATACTTAAAACAACATACAAGTAAAAGAAAAATGTTCTTTCATTTTTTTTTCTTTCTCTACTTTTCTTCCATAGTCAATGTCAGTACAAAAAATTTTGTTTTTCTTTCTATAGCTTGAATTTTATTCTTCAGTGCGTGTAAAAACAACTGATGTCAATTGTAAAAGTGTTGGTAATGTCATTTTAATTCATATAGTATCCATTAGTTTGAAGAAAGAGGAAACTAATTGGGTTAAACTAAAAGCAAAACAGAAAGTGAGAAACAAATATTTTTATTTTGAATTAAATTTTCATTCATTCTGTTCATGTAGATAAATATTATCTTTGCTTTTCTTTATAAATTTCTTTGTCAATCTTGTTGTCAGCTTGCTAAGGTCATTTTAAAAAAATAATTTATATGATAATTAAGTTGACTATTGCGATCGATCACATACAGTCGAGTCCGCTTATAAGAGCGCGGTCGGGACCTCTAAAAGAGGCTTTTATATGCGAACCGCTCCTTTATCCGAACTATATGTAAAACAGTGCAAAAATTGATTCCTGTCAACATTTATTAAGTAGTACATAGGCATACATAAATTTACTTGAAGAAATCCGTGATTTTACTTTGAGTACTATTAATTAAAGAGTTNTCATATGTAAGAAAAAATATTTTACAAATACTTTCGACTAATATCGAAGACCACAATATTCAGTATCATATCATGCTTAGCTGTCGGTATCGATGTGAGCGTGTAGTCGTCTACCAGTAAATTGACTCTAGTTCCTTCAAAGTTTTATGAAAACAGGATTTACTCTATACCATTCGATGCGCCTAAAAATGCTCTACAATATGTTATAGTTGGTTTTTCATTTGTGAATAGGTTACCTTAATCAACAAGGTTCTTTAAAGACAGGGATTAGAACTTTTGGTTAGCCCTAAGTACATTTCAAATAAAGCGGTATTTTAGGATGCAAATTTCCGGTATTTCATGGTACGGGTACATCAATATTATCTCATATAACAAGAATATTTGGTCGACATTCAATTTTTGCTTCAGTTATGAAACTCAGTCTAATTCTAGCTCTGGATTATATCTCATGTAGGCTTGTTGTCTTTCATCATATTTAAGTCCCCAATCTTCAATATTTACTATTCATTTAAAGGTTTATAATCATTTTGTAATCTAGCAATCCATCTTCGTTTCAAATGTTTGCTTGCACTACTGCTGGTATATCGTAATACTCGCAAGAGCCCGTGGTAGCGCTTAAGATTTTCAGTTCCAACTATAGACTATAGCAGAGAGTTTTTTCTACCCAAATTCGAATTAATCGAGAAGAAAATAGTATCAGACTCTATTTTACTAATAAAAAACTTTCTCATAACCGGAATCCGATTTGAGCATCTGTGTTCGCTCAGATACATTAACTTTATCAGTGTGTATTGAAAACGACTCGATTCTGTCAGTTTTCATACAATATATCATGATATATCACTTTCAAAAGAACTTGGTGGTACGTTCTCGGTAGTTACACATGGGTGCTTGACAGTGAATGATTTTATTTCAATAAACTCGTTTGTTGTTCATTCTTGTTATAAACTTCTTTTAAAATAACTTTCATCAACCAAAAGCATTTTTCTATTTTGAGCATAATATTAATATTTAATCTATCAGAAAATCTTGAAATTGCAGAAATTTTTCAAAAAAAAGTCTACATCATTAAAATCATTTACTAAATTAAATATGTTCCAGTTATATCGTTTAATAGCGTACAACAACAAAAATCCTATATTATATTTCATCATTTGAGATCTGTTGAAATGTTTTCAAAGTTTGTTCAATGATAGTTTCTACTGATGCCATGCCACCGATACCAGTTTGTCCGCACATTAATGTTTTTTCAATAGAAGGAATTTCTATGTATCCAAAAGTTTTGGTTAACACATCTAAATGTTGTCGTGTAAGAGGATGTTCAAACATTGCTGTATTCATTGCAGGTGCAATAATTAATGGTTTTCTTTTTTTTAAATCCCAAGCACGAACAACATTTGTTAAAAGATTATCACATAAACCAACAGTCATTTTAGCTAATGTATTAGCATCAAGTGGTGCAATCAAAAGTATATCAGCCCAATCACGAAGTATAATATGTAAAACAGGATCACCACGTACTTTCCATGATGACCATTCATCATTATCTTCAAAATAACATGGAGTTTTTATTTCAGTAATGGATCCATGAGAACACCAAGAATCTTCAAAATTAATAAAATGTTTAGCTCGTTCAGTTGGAATAATAATCGTGTCGATATTATGACTATTAAAATTACGAACAAGTTCATTTACTTTAATAGTTGCAACACTTCCTGTTACACCAAGAAGAAGATGTCGTTGATGTTGACTCTCATTGTTGCTCATCACTGTAATGAAATAAAATAATAGACTCGTCTAATAATACTAAGAAACGTCTAAAAATAGAATTCATATGGAATTGAAAACGATCACTTTTTAATGTTCTTATTGTCAAATAATCTCTTTTAATCGAAATATAAATTATCAAATGACTTGACAATTCTATTAATTGTTTTTTTTTATTTTCATTTGACGAAAATCTTTTTTTAGAAGTTTAATCTAAACGAATGTTCGATTTGAATAGTTTATTTAATAACAAAACGTTCTTTATATGAACTTTTTTTTTATTTTTTATCGAAACAAAAAACAACAACGGCTGTGATATTGATCGAATTCATCCAATGATCGTTAACGTTTTTTTTGACGATAAGCCGTTGAGCTAATGCCGAATATTTATGCTATAAAAAATAAAGCCACATATAAATTAATACAAAAATTAATTGATAACATACTTTTAGAAACAGGAATATTAGTTGGTTGTAATGGTTCTTTGTTGCCAGCGCGTTGACCAGCTGCACCGGTATTACCTTGGCCACCAGTTGTACCTGGTTGACGAGCTTGATGAGGACGTCTGAAAATCATATTAACAAAAAATGAATGAATGAGCGAATTTTTTCAACATTAACTTACAAAAGTGGTTGACGGATACGACGTGCTTCTCTAGAACGATTACGTACAACTTTACTGTGAATAGCACATGAAACACAATAATGTAATTTGTAATAAAGTTTTGGTAAAATATATTTTGTATAAATACTGGCTTCACTTATATCCTTAACAGCTGCCTGTTCGACAATGTTTCGAATAATTAATTTTTTAATGGCCTTATCTTTTGGTACTAAACGCCGACAATTTGTGCAATTGACTGGACGAACGCGACCACGACCATGTTTGCTTCGTCCATTATTACGGCGTTTTTTCGTCATCCTTTAATTTTTTTTCTCGGGCGATGTTATAGAGAATGATAAAGTGCTATATCTAAAAAAAATATATGAATATGGATAATATTATTGATATAAAATAAAAATTTATCAAATTATAAAAAACACTAAACACCATTGAAAGACTTTAGATAAATTGCACTTCACCAAAGGAAAAAAATTACAAAATAAATGAATTGCGTGTTTAAGAAAAACGAAGAAGTTTGTAGAATCATTCAAAATATGAATAAGAACCATGTTTAGATTTAATTAACCACATACTATCAACTACTTTTCCACCCTGAAATAAATAAATATATATTTAATTTATTTTTAACAAATGAAAAATAAATAAACAGACCTGGTCATCTGATACTTGTTCTAAGTAAAGATGAGAAGCATTATAAATATTCATTCGTGTATAACCATAATCATTATTTTGAAATGCTGTCCATGCTCGAGGAACACCAAACGGATCATGACGTTCATCACAACCCTATAAAATGCACTTAGAAAATCTCACATCAAAATGACGTCACTTACTGCTGATCCTGTTGTTATATGTACAGGAGCATCGGGATCAATATAAGCACCCTTTGTACCATTGTAAACCTACATAAATTTTTTCAATAGAATTTTGAACGATTTTCATACACATAATGAGTTCAGGTGCTGAACATTAAAAAAATGTCGGGTCAACTCTAGATATGATCTCATACCTAGATCCGACCCGGTAATTTATGACACCTTGATGTTTCAAAATATGTTTACTTTTTCAAACTACTATTCAGATAAAAACATAGGAGTGAAAACTTGAGCAATTTATTGTACTTGAGAACAGGTCACAGAAATGCAAAAGCAATATTGTTTTACTAAAGAGAATTCGTTTTTAATGAAAATTCACCTACAAATGATGATGAACCTTATGACGAAGTAATTGAATAGATGAAAAGGAAAACGAATTATCATGATGGAAAAAGCATTCATGTGTATATCCACAATTATGACATTTGGCACAAACATTGTGTTCCATTCCAATGTCATTGCAGTCAACGAGTAAACGTATATATAGCGAAATCGATTCGATATTAGAAGCCGAAAGAGACTAAGTGAATTCTAAATAACTTACTTTTTCTGTTGCTGTTTATGGAAGAAACTAAACAGTATACTTTTTCATATAAAGTAAAAGTTTGACAGCTGTATTTTGACTGCGAAAGTATCTGACTTATGTCAATAAGTTCCAGTTCGAATGCAGTTCATTTTTTAACAACAAGCGATTGATTCGCATCAACCCGAAAAAGAGATAAGCGTTCGAAAATAAACGATAAAAGTGATTAACAACATATCCATCAATGATTCTAGTAAATGCATATAATGTAACAATGTTCATAGACAAAGAACTTAGATTAGAATGTCTCACTGAATACTAATTACTCATTTTATATATTAAGAAAACGAATATCAATCAATGAATTCACTTACTGTCGAATTATAAACTGGCCATAAACGTTCATAACTATGTTCATGTGCCCAAAATTCTAAATCTACACCATACTGAGCAAATAATTTTTCAAGACCATATGCTTGAATAAATGGAAGACCAGTACGTATCTAAACATTAATAAAGTAGATAAAATAAATAATATATTTTCCTTACATAAATATAACCATCATTATTAAGACATTCATCATCATTATTATTACTACAATACATTGGTTTATGTGCCATGGTAATAATCCATGGTTGACGTGCACGATTTTCAGGTTTACTTGCTTCCTAGATAATGAAAAACCAAATTGAACAACAACAATAATGTTTTATTTTCTGTTTACTATTAAATCTTGTTCAAGCCATTGATATTGATTAATAATTTGTTCAAAACCATATTCGGTATAATAATAAAATTCTGTTGAAAATCCAATAACATGTGCAGGACCAACATTAAAACTAATTTACAAAGAATTATAAGCAAGCAAACAAAAAGAAAATATTTAAACTAACCTATAAAAATGATTTGCATCACCACCATATGTATCCATGGATGATGGCATACTGAATTTTGCAACATATTGTGAAAAATTACTAAAGACACAAAATAAAACTTTAATTAAATAAATAATTTAATTTTTACTATGCATTCTCATGGTTTCCTGGACAAGTCATATATGGTATATAAGCAGCAATAGATTCAATTTCGTTCATATACTCATCACCATAACGTGCATTATCTAAATCCATATCATACGCCATATCACCTATAATTCACGACTAGAAATAATATTTTAATCATATAAATATAGAACAAACTTACCAACATGTAAAATAAGATCGAAATGACCTAATTGAGTTTCTTCTTGTAGACGTCCCATTGATTGAGCATTATCTTTTCCCATATCACCATAAACAGCCATACGAACAACAAAATCGGAATCATTACGCATTGCTGTAAACCAAAATACGGGTGACCAACCATATTCATCACTACCACAATGATAAACTAAGGTGACAAAAAATGAACTTAATTAAAGTTATATTATATTTTTTTATGTCATACAATATTTGTGACCAGGCATAAGATTTCGCAAAACAACGCGATGAATATATTCACGTCGTCTTTCGGTTCCACTGTCTTGAAATATACTAACCGAACCTGTAGCTCGTTGATCGAACATCTCATCTTGTCCATATTCAACAATAGAATCATTGACCTCATTTAATGTTACCCATGTTACTATCATAAGTGACGGGTCACCTGAAACGATAAGCACAAAAAACCATCGACAACACTATATTATTAATTTTTGAAAAATTTAACATACTCCCATAAGATAAATGAATTTGTTCTGGTTGACCAAATATTGGATCATTGAAAAATATTGATCGTGATGAAACAAAAGTAAAAATGGTAATTAATAAAATACCATTCAAAAGAGCCATGGTTTATTCAAACTTTTCGTTTTCTAGAGTATTTGACTACACCAAGAGAAAACAAATAGTTGGATAATGTAAAAGGTAAAAGTGGGACTCTAGTATATTTGAGACTTAAAATAATAACAAAACTTATTGAATTTTAAAATAGAAAAAGAGCTTTTACATATTTAAACAAATTTGAATAGTTCAAATTGGAAATTTTATCAAACGACATCTCGAACAAATGTCATAATCTAGCGTCCTCTATTTCATCAATTGACAACTATTATGAAACCAAATACGTCGATCTTCGTTAAACTGTTAATTATAAGGAAATTATAATATTTCAAGACAATTATACATATTACACTTACGAAGAAATCTCTTCTGGTGTCAAATAGTCTTTTCGATTGAGACGATGTTCATTTGATAAGTAATGGACAAGGCTACAATGGCTTGGTTTTCTAGGTCTTCGTTCTCGAGATATCAAAATTCTACTGATTTTTTTCAACAAAAAAGTTTTGCTCCTCCTCAAATCACGTGAAAAGTCGACTTTTGATTTCATACTTTATACGAACAAAGTTCTCAATAAGATTAGCCATTGGACAAGTTGTCACTTTTCTTGTATTCCTATAATACTAGAGAGGCTAAAAATTGGACAATGAACTAATCTCATTGAGAACTTTTTTTTCATGGAAATTTTGAAGTTGAAAATCGATTTTCCACGTGACCTGAGGAGAACCACAGCATTTTGCTGAAAATCCCAGTAAAATTTTGATATTTTAAGAAGGAAGGTCCAGAAAACCAAACCATTCTAGACTTCTCTATTACTCACTAACACTCATCAAATGAGCATAGTCTTGATCGATAGGCGATTTCACACCTGGAGAGGGTCGCTCGTTAGTGACGTAACCAGAAAAAAGTTGAAGAGATTGTTAGCTCTTCAGCCATGTTTGTAGAAGTAATGGAAATCCTGTTTAAGTAAAGCTCAACTGTTGATGGAGGGAGAAACGACTGAGGCGTTTCTCACCATTATCTGGTTACACCATTAATCAAACTATTTCTCCATTGTCTTTCTTGACATCAAAACATAAGTCATACGTAATAAAGTTGATTAAGAATGAATCTATATCCAAAATGAACATTGATTCTAGAAGTACAGTGTACCACGAGAATGTAAAATTTCCGCTACTACTAAAATAAAGAAAACATCGGGTTTTCTTTTTCACTCGCACATTCAAAAATAGCGAAAGAAAAATAGATTTACTTAATATACAAAAAGGCAATATAGAAAACTAATCTATATTAATCATCAATTACTAGAAGCAGATTTTATTCAATAAAGTAATGCATTGGATGATTAAATGAAAGAATATGCCGTTTGGACACTTTTCTATCAATAAAAAAAATCACAGAAGCTGTGTTTTTAGCTTACATTTTTGTGACTACAACAGAATCATTTCTTCATTCGAATTTCCAAATGACAACATTTCCTCCAAGGCGTGTTTACGCAGACAGGTAGATTCTGTACATCTAATTGATTCATCCATTTTTCATCGTTTATCTGGGTTATTTACTTGATGTTGGTTGTGGTTAATCCATTTTTTTCATCCAGTCGATAAGTTTTATCCTAATATTCAATTATTCATATACCGACTATTTGCGATGTAATCAGTTCATTATGAAAACCTTCAAAGTTGAGCCAATACAAAAAAAATACCAATAACGATTGCTTGTAAATGAAACTGTTCAAAATCTTAATCGATATATTACACTGAAAATGTTGCTCTTATGTGTACTCTCAATCGAGTGCTGTGCTTGTTCAATGTCAATTAAAGAAAAAATAACAATCGATTATTGCGATTTGTAGATATTCATCTTATTTGACATTTGCTACTTACGTGAAGAACGCACCAATAACAGATTGTTATAGAGCAATAAATTTTAATTGTACATCAATCAGGTGAAGTTCAAGTTTTCTCTTCCTCATTAAGTCACATTAAAATTCTTATATTATATTATATAATAATATTCTCAACGCCTTTATTTAAACATTTATAGTAATTTAATATTATTGATAATATAAAATGATCTGTGAAGTTTTCGTTGGATATTAATAACAAGATTTATGTACGATGAAACATATTATGGACCTCATGCAGATGTCACCAAGTGACAACAAACTGAACTGTTCATTATAACGTTCAAAACATATTGTAAATTAAAAACCAAATTTATTCCATATTGATTCAGATCTATTTTTAAATGAATTAACATGAATATAGATCTGCATTAATATTTTAATTCCAAAATAAACAGAAATTTAATTTAAATCTCAATCATATTCTAATTTTTGGTGAGAAATTTCTAGTTTTTTTCTTTTTTTAAATCAATTTTCTGTTCAACGATATGAATCATTGTTCAATTGATTCCATAAAATATCAATTTTGGATCTGTCAATATATGTCAATCATACACCCCACCCTCGTTATTACTCATTCCACCACTTATCAGTTACAGTTTTTTAACTACACATAACAATCCTTTTTCGAAGCTAGGCGACAATACATAAAACAAAAATTTTATGTACTGAGGTCGTATAAGGTGATTACTAATATGAGATCGAAGGCTAGACGTGTTCATAGAAGTTTTATGCGTATTTTCTTCCATATATGAGCGACTCACTATTATAATTGGACGAGAAGTGTGATCGATCGTACCGGTCATCATCTTCATCAAAAGAAAAAAAAATAAACCAGTGAATAATCTGCTCTTCTTTTTTTTTTCGTATTCAGATTCCTTTTTTTATGAACCGAAATTATGAGCGATTTTGCTAAAGTATTTAATATTTATTCCACGGAATCAAATCAAGATCAACAAGACGACAACCAAACATTTGGAGAAGTAAAAAGAGCTAATGCTAGTAAGTTAATTTTAGAAATAAAATGAAGTATTTATCAAAATATTCTTTTCTATTTAGGTATTAATCAAGAGTTTTCAAAAAGTTTTGTAAGAGTTACAATAAAAATTCCTAAGATGAAAACCGGTATTAATTGGCGTAAATTAATACGTGAGCCAAACAATGGGATAGTAACAGAAGCAACATATCATGGAAAGTATGTACATATGAATCATTCTTAATTTTATTCTAATGTTTTCTTATTTATCTTAGTCGACTGAATTTTGAATTTATTCTTAATCGAGGTAAATCAAATGAAACGAAATATGAATTTTCTACTCGAGAACCACTTCACGGACCAATTGAATATCATAAAAGTTATTTAAAAGTAAATTTTTCTATTTCCCAAAAAGAACAAAAAAATTAATGAATATTAATTTCCTTTTAGTATAAAGATGAATATGTTCTTTGGTTTGTTCATAAATCTCAACCTTGGTAAACTAATCTTCCATGAGCATTTTATCATATGTGTGTGGGTGGTTTTTTCTTTTCTTTTCTTTTCTGTTTATCATACTTATACATATGTAGAAGTTTTTAAATCTTCTTTAAACGTTTTTTTTATATGTTGTATTTGTTTTGTCAATTTATAATAATAATTATAATTATAAAAAAAAGATTTTCGTTTTTTTGAAGTGCTTTAGAAAACACGCAAAACAAGTGCTAATCTCTCTCTTTTTTGCTTTATGCTTTATGTACAAAATAGAAAACATTTTTAAAATTAATTTGTTGTAGCAATAAGTTCACGAAGGATCGTTACAGGTGCTGATGGTGCTGGATTATCTTTTAAACTATTCTTACGTGAATCATGTTGTTGTATTGGACGAGGTATTAATTCTTGTCCAGGTAAAGGTTTAGCATGTAATTCAACTTTTTGTGATACACCAAAGCGTGCTTTACATTCACCACGTGTTATACGATAAATTCCACGATTATCTTTTCGAAAACCTTTCTCACGTGGAAATAAATCTTCAAGATCACCAAAATCCATACTAAGAATTTCTTGAGAATCTTTATATACTTTAACACGTATTTCACCAAAAAAATATGATTTAATTTCAAATGTACCACAATATTCATCTTCTTGAACAACGAGTTCAGCTGTTGTTTGAGACATACCAGGAATCTATTTGTCGAAAAATAAATCGTCTATTTTCATTACTCATTCATTCATTCAAAAGGAAAAAGGTGATAGAGAAAGAGAGGAGATATTGAAAGATTATCGAGTATTTATATCCTAAGATAAAATTAAAGGTAATGAATCATTGATCGAGATTTGTGTCGATTTATCTTTAGCCATAGTGATTAATAAATTTTATCTAACTAGTATTTAAATTATCAATATTTTATAACTCTACATGAAACACAAGAATACATAAATAACTGGCTGAAAGCTTGATTCAAATAATTTAATTAAATCGATTTTTTTTTATTAGATCACATGACAAATGTGAAATGTAAAGGATGATGACATGACTCATATATAGCCATGCGCTCACGTCGTTTGGGTCGTTTTGCCTCAATGAAGAAAAATACCTTTAACTATTTCACTACGTGATATAACGTGCTTTCTTCGGTAGAAAATTGAAGTAAGGAAATGGCTATTAGACAATATCAAAAGTGGGCTCTCGGCAATATCATAAGACTAAGTACTAGAGTCAATCAAAAATCCCAAACCCAATAATTTTGGGTTTTTTTTTATATTCCTATCAATTTCTTACTAAACTGCACAGTTCATTCAATTATTCTCCATTTGGTTATTAAAAACAGACATCCTTCTATACAGTTTATTGATATAGTTTATAATTAATGAGATAAATTTGAAATACTCAAATTCTATCATTGAGTTTGACTGTATGATTACTCGTATACACGTCAAAAAACATTTCTGTTAACACTACACTCTATGGTAAACCAAAAAAATGACATCTCATGCTAAATATCAGGGTTGTTGGTATTTTAGAGGTGGATAAAAGCTAAAGACCCAGTAGAAAGTTCGAAAATAGTCACAGAAAGTGCTTTCATCCTTGCAGTAGTGGATGTGCTGATCAGGAATGAAAGAAAAGCGAAACCAATCGCGACTCGATCCGTCTCTCTTACAATTGATGATTTGCCACCTAGGCTCTTCTTATCCCAATCTTATTCACCTTGAAACAAGATTCCTAAACTCCTCTCATCAATAGATGATTTTGAGTCCTCTTTTATTTCGAAGGATACAAAGTTTTAAGGAATAATCTTCTATTGTGTCCAATCGATTTTCATCACTTCTGATTAGAAAGGTTTTTCTGATTTATCAAGTAATCTTTCGAGTTTTAGACGCCCGAAAATAATATTGACCACAGTTTTTTAACATTTTCAGCTCGAAACAATGAAAACTAGGTATATTTTAATGTGAATATCATACTGATAAAACTTCTAATTTTTCGAAATTATTGCGAGGAAGAATGTAGAATTATTTCTGTCAAAGTAAATTGAATTGCACTGCTTCTTTTTAGCTTTAAAAATGATAGCGAACAAGTTTGTCACTCGATACGTCTATTACAAGGAAAGATCTCCAAATGATAAATTCATTTTAAGTTGGGACTACATTCAATCGGTACAGTCTAGCCAGTAGGTAAATACTCAAGAGTAGTTAGAGCTATTGAGTTTTTAGTAGATTTTTCTTCCAGAGGCTCCAGTTTTCATGCAAAATCATATTTGAGAATTATGAGCTGAAACTTTGCTCACATAAAATTTATAGACGTTTTCCCCATGATTATTGTAAAAAGAAGCTAATGGGATCAAGCCCTTTATGTGGGCATAGTTTTAGGGTAAAATTCAAAAGTCTGATTTTCCATGAAAACTGACACCAGACAGGAAGAATCTCCTAACAATTCGATATTTCAGCAACAAAGATTTAACAGCTCGAATTATTTGCTAGGCTCTCTCAATTAAATACAGTTCAAATTCAAAAGCGATTCATTACTCAGAGACCTTTGCTCGTTAAATAAAACTTTTCTCATAACATTTGACTATTAAAATTATAAAACAAATCTTACTTTAATATTTGATTCAACTGACCATGTTAATTCTTCTTCAACTTGTTTATCACGTGATTGTTCAAGTGTATATTCTCGACGAAAACCTGTACTTGCTTCAAGAACACATTTCGGTAATGGAACTTCGAGTTCAAGTGATGCACACTGTTCTGTAGTATAACCTTCGAATATTGAAAATGAACATGTTGATACAGTACGTCGTACAGCTTTTAAATTATATTCTTGTTCACGATTTGTATCGTTAAGAAATGTTGAACGAAATAAAATATGATTTTTTGGTGTACCGGGTGTTTCAAGATCTGTATAAATAACTGGATCATGACGTACTCTATATAAAAAAAACATAAATAAAAATAAAGCAAATCTAATAACGAACTTTAATGATCTCCAATCAATTTCTTTCACAAGTTCTTTCCAATTATATGTTTTTCCCCATTTAGCTCTCGTCGAATCTTTTTCATTATCTTTGTACCATTTATGTGCAGCAGATTCGACTAAATCTCTTAAATTCACCAGACCCATTTTATTTGACAATGCAGGTGTACTCTAAATTGAAAAATAATATATATATATATGCGAATACACAAAAAAAGGAGAAAAGCAAACATTTTAATCAAGCGTATAATCAATAAGCAAGAATTCAAATTTGTGCATCTATGTATATTTCTTATTCTCGATCAATACCTGATTCTGAATAACCATTTCCATTGTTTCTCTCTGCGCATGAAATTTTCGTGATTGTTTCATACCCATTTTTATTTCGAACTGGCAACTGATATGATAATTTTGTTAAAATCATTATATATTATAACCAATCCGAAAAAAAGAATCATTCTGTAAATACCAGACTATTTTACTCATTCGATGGCATTTATTATTTGTGTGTCTACTCTTCCCTTAGTTCCATCCTCGCCCTCTCTCTCACACACTCTCTCGTCACATATACCACTCATCGAATCAAAATACGAGTTGATATATTCTCAAAAAATAAAACATGAATCACATTCGAATATAATGATCGATGGTGAAGTAATTCAACAATATGTATTTACACAGAACGAATCAATTCTATTATGTAAAAGAAAAAATGAACACGAATATACATTCTAATCAAGGAAGAACACATACGAGAAAGACCGAAGAAAAAAAACGCCAGCATGATGAAAATAAATTGATTTTCTTAGCTTGAATGCACAATATGATTGCTGTTAGCCATAACACGCCTTTATTGTTTTCCCCTCCTAGGACTTTCGAATGATATCGATCGAACTAATTTGACGGGCAGCTGCGTATTTATCGATCTGTAGAATAAGAAAAGAATACACAACAAAAACAGACAGACATGCATTGCATACACAGGAGAGAACGAGAGACTAATTTGATCGATCGATTGGCGTCAGTGCCAGCCCAACTCTCCCCCCCCCCCCCCCCCCCCCTTCCCCCCCCCTCCCCCCCCCCCCCCCCCCCCCCCCCCCCCCCCCCCCCCCCCCCCCCCCCCCCCCCCGCCCCCCCCCCCCCCCCCCCCCCCCCCCCCCCCCCCACCCCCCCCCCCCCCCCCCCCCCCCCACCCCACCACCCCCACCCCCCCCCNGACTAATTTGATCGATCGATTGGCGTCAGTGCCAGCCCATCTCTCCCCCCCCCCCCTTCCTTTTCCCCTCCTTTCCTTCTCATCTCATCATCGATCGATCAAAATAGACATACAAGCTATGCATATTTTTATGCAAATGTATATCTAAGACAGAATTACAAAGTTCAAGTTGACGTGAAAATCGAGTATCATATATGTTCAAATAAGAATAGACGTGTTTTTCCCTCTCTAATCATCAATAGAATTCATAAATATGTCGATACATTGTGTTTCATCATTGGCCGCTCTTTCGATAAAAAGCAAAAAAAAAACGTACAACATACTGATACGCTTTACATGTCTTATCTAAACGTATGTGTATATGTTTGCCTCGTTATCCGAAGTTCAGAAGTCCGTATGTTTTCTTCATAATGATCATCATCATCAATTGTTATCTCAATCAAAGTAAAGGAAAAAACCGAAAAGAACTAGTGATACCACTTAAAAGAATAGAATATTAAGCAAAAGAAAAGCAGCTGTCACTTTCAAAAAAGCAAAAAGAAGAGTATGGACACTTCAACATGAATACAATCATTTTCTTTCTCGTTTTTAATAATTAGATATTGACACTCAATCGATCACACATTCATTTTATTTGTCCTATTTGACAACGGAAATCAAATTCGCCTGATATCTAATATAGTTGACACGTGTTCAATATAGAATAGAATAAATATACTTCGATTGATATATTTACAAGTAATGAAAAGGAGACAAAGTACTAGGACAGTGTCCTCGATCAACAAAATGAAAAGAAAAGCAATTCTAATTGAGTATGGCATAGATGCATGTGCTCAAAAATTAAATCAAATCAGTCAAAAAGAACAGCTGGTTAGCATTAATAAAATTATCAAAAAAAAGAAAAATGCTCTTATATTCCTACCCGTCGACTTGTTGTAGAACTCTGTATATGAATTAGGTTAAATATGTATAAAGTAGAAAAAAAAAATTTTTTTTATTATATCCTACCTCATCACCTTTACCATTGAAATGAATGAGATTATCAATAATGCGTGGCATTAAATAGTTTAAATCTAAAATATCAAATTAGAGTCTCATTAAAAATGATCATTATGATCTTTTCATCATTGACATGCGGTGAAAGTTAAAAAAAGAAAACAACATAGTGGTAGATTTCAAAGGTAAAAATGCGCATACAAGTGATTATTATGAATTGAATTAAAGCTATGCACATTGAAATAACGAGAAAAATGAAAGTTTTTTTTTTCGTTTTTCTTCTCTTTACTTACTTTCTATTTAATTTTTTTAACTTATAACAAGTATAAAACGATTTCGTTTTCTTTTTTTTTTTGTTTCTCTTTCTTATCGAATATTAACACTTTCTTATGTTGACATCTTTTGTCTTCATAGTTCTCATTCAAATATATTTATATTGATTGTTCAACGATTACTGATGATGCTAAACAGATTACATCATTCACTCCTTTTTTTTTGCATACCTATACCGAAAATATTATTGACGTATTTGAAGCCTTAAAACCAATCGTTACATGTAACAACGATGACGATGACGACAAAATGGTGACACTCATTCTTTTTTCCTACTAATATACATATTTTGTGGGTGGCATTTTGATGATGAAGAAAAATGTTCACTGAGTGCAAAAATAACAAGATTATTCATCACAGTTTTTTTTGCGTCTTTTTCTCACGACATATGACCCTCTTCACAAGGTTTTCAACTCTTCAAATCGATAGACTTACCAATAGTACTCATTAGGATAAATATTGCAAATGTAAACGCGTGTGTTTGTCTCTTTAAAACAAACGTGTATGTGTACGTTTGCTGTTCAATGATTGCTTTTTGATGAGAGAAAAGAAAGAGAAACGTGCTGTTGCCGTCCAGGAGTTCATCTCATCAATAACTCATTTGTCACACAGACGATTCAATAACAACAATATTTCTTTACGAACAAAAGATGTCTATTGGCATAGATCGAGAAAAAAAAATTTACATTGTATGTATCAAAAGAATACTTATTTGAATATAAATATTCAAGATCGAAAAATGAAATAAGAGTAGTAGTAATCTTAACACCTGTATTTAGTTAAGCTTAAATTTTTCGAATAATAATGATGAGATGATATGAATTAGTTGAGATTAAACAGTCAAATAGAGAGATATAACAAACTTACTTGAGAATGAATGACTTATGCCAAACAAAAAAAGAACAATGAATGAACTATTCTTTTTTTCTCTCTCATTTTCTTTTTTCTACTCTGTTCAACTAACAGTGACGTGAAACTAACCTCTCATTCTAATATTTCTCTCGTTATTGATTGGTGCATGTAAATACGAAGAAGAAGAGAAAAAAACGAGAAACTTAGCTGACTAACAAACAAGTTTTTCCCTCTTATGTTCAATAACATCAAGATAATAAGAGCAAAGATGTTGATGTGACAAAATGATTCATCATACTTCTTATATTGAACTTAAAAGAAAATGGATTAACTCATTAGAAAGTATAATTCTTTCTTTCTTCTTCTCTCTGAAAATAAACGAAATCGATTCAATTTTGATCGCTACTGCATGTTGTTGCCGTATCCCCCCTAAGGACATTGACTCTCTTTCACTCGATTAGTCATTCGTCCATATTGTCATCTATGCTCGCGGGGATTCAAACAACTAGAAAAAAAGAGCGTACAGCATGCAGCCAACAAACATTCTTTGCTTTTTTTTTCTTCTTCTTTTTCTTCCATTTCCCACACAAACATACTTGACTTGAGCGGAAATTGAACTCCTACTCATATAAACGATGAATCAGCAATCAACTATTTATAGATGAGTAAATGGAACAATGAAGCGAAATGAAATGCAGTTAAACAATCTCATTTAGACTTTCACTTTCGAATAACAATATATGCATATATAAATATATATATATGCTCAAAAAACTATTAGTCTATATGCTTCAAATCACTCGACTCACCTTAATGTCATTGACGAAATACCGCAGCTTTATGTTCTATCGACAAGAATAACAAATTCGGAGAGCAGAGAGCAATTAACATGCAAGTGTGACGCTGATCGTAAAAAAAGAAAATATGAGAGAGAGAAAGACAGTCGACCTCTCTTTTACTTGTTCGTTGTCAAAACTTATCATCAATCTTTTTTTTTTCTTCTGTCTTTATATAAAAAGAAAGCATACTTATACAAACACACACACACACACATGTATACACAAAGAAAAGATAAGAATGAAGACAATCAAAATAATCTTTATCGAAGTTTGAAAAAATTTTTTGCAGAAAAAAGTGTTACATAACTTAACAATGTTGTCAATATACTAAATATAATAAGACATAAACGATCAAGAACCATAGCTGAAAATCTCCAATCTTGTGATATATCATCTTCATCTTCTTCTTTTTTAACATGATCTGTAAGTATTCGAAGTTCTGATATCATAGCACGCATTTCAGAACGAAATACACGCATATCACGTGGAAGTAATATTTCATTTGGATCATGATGATGATGAGGATTTTTACATTTAGGTTGTTGACGTAGAGCAATGTGATTCGTTACATTAGTTGGTAATGTACTACTTGTATGAATATACGGTTGATCATCACTACCAGTTACATTAGCTAATAAAGATTTTGATGAATGAGCTAATAGTGGTGTTGCTAAACATTTTTGATTACTTGTTATACTATTTTGTCGTTCAATTGTACGATGATGTTGAGAACGTATTGCTCTCCAACTTAAATCATGTTCTGGACGACTCATACATAAAAACCATGCAAGATATTGATTGACATATACTTTAACCTGGGAAATAAAAATAGAAAAAGATATTTTTAATAATAAAAAAAGAAAACGAATATTTAAATTTGAAAATATCGTACCCACATAGGCATTGTATGACTCTTAGCATTACGATGATGAAGAACAAGTACGAAAACAGTAGCAATTACTGACATTGTACACAAACACATAACTGTTGCAAAATACATAACAATTGTTGGTAATGCTGTTGAACTTGCTGGTATAATGCCCGAGATTAATAAACTGAACATGACTATTGAAAGAAGTATTGTTATTTCTGTAAAAAGAAATCAAAATAAAATGAATTGTTACTTATTAGAAACAAATTTTACTTACGTAATGTTAATTTTTCACCACTGTCTGGTGGAAGAAGAAAACCAAGTACAGTCATAGAGCTAATGAGAACACAGGGTACTAAATGAAAGAGACATGTTTACATTTTTTCAAGATAAGATCTTCGATCAATTAAATAAGATTTATGAAATGTATTGATAAAAATGATTAAAATCAGTTAATTATTACTATTTGTGTTAATCTATTAGATGCCATATGCTGATCTAAGAAAAAACTATATTGCGCACCCAAGCAATTAATTAAGATAACTGAAGCATTCAGTTGATACATAAACGAAGCTTATTTAGAAAAAAAACAAACGTTTAGTTTTCTTTTTGCTACAGTTATTTAACAACGAAGAAAAAATTTGAATATATTTACCAACAACATTCACTACATAATAAAGTGTACGCCGACGTATTTGAATAGTAAAAAGAACAAATGGATATACAGTTGGACAACATTCATAAACGAATGCTTGTCTTACTGCAACAAAAGCTATAGAACAAAAAGATAAGAAAAATTTTATATAAAACTTTAAAATTTTATACCTTCTAAATCCCATTCAGCATTTTTAATATATGCATCTAATTGACCTGTATCACTATTAGTTGTTAAATTAACACCTATGTTTAAAAATATAATTTTTGCGAAATATTTCAACATCTATTTTTCTACGAACCAGATTCATCAAAAGACCATGAGCCAAATTTTAATGTGCAATTTTGTATATCCAAAAAAAATTTAAAAACAAATATAAATATTATAAAAAACAAAACGAAACAAATTCACTAATTAAAACTCACAAATGGAAATGAAGCAATATTAAAAGGACATATTGATTTTAATATACCAGGTGGAACAAATAGTATAGTACCATTAGATTGTACAACTAAATTTGTTTTCATTGTACCTTCGAAATTTTCACTTGCACTTTAAACAAAAAGCAGCATCTCTTTCTCTATTTATCTTGTTTTTTTTAATTTTTACCTATTATAAAGAACAACATCTGGCGTCCATATACGGGTACTTGGTAAACGAATTGATTGAATACCTCCATAATCTTCTGGTTTCCATCGTAAATTATAAGCAAACCATTCCTGAATATATATGTTTTATAAAATAGAGAAAAAGAATGAATTTTTTAATATACGTACAAATACTAACCAACCACTAAGAGCAAGAATTTCATTCTTTTCATCCTATTTTAATAAAAATATATACAAAAAAAAAATAGATTGTTTTCGTTTTTGAAAATCTCACAAAATCCATGATTTGTTGAATAGCTAAACTCATTGATACTAGTAATGTATCTGAATCATTAACAACAGGTCTTTCAAGCGGATCATATTGTTGTTCTTCAAGTAAATATTTTAGCAAGCGACGTTGATGTGAGCCTCCAGCTATTTTCACAATATTTTGATATATATATATATATATATATTATATATATAAAACTTACTTGTTAATTCAAATAAATAAATGAATAACAGAAAATATCTAGTTATATTGTAGTATAGCATTTCTAAAGAAATATGTTGATTGAAACTTGCTGATTTTTAAAGACGTCTACTTCTTGAGATAATTCGTCTGCTTAAGAAGTTGTTTGCTTGTAAATGTACTTGTACGAGACGAACAATGGATGACAATCGTGATGTTCTTCCAAGTAGAAATCAACACAGAACGGAATAAGAATATCTAATTTCACTTTTTTTTGATTGATTCTTTAGTAATAGTGGCCTTTAGTATGTATATATTTAAATGACAGCATTACGTACTGATCGAAAAATTATTCAGCTTAAACCAAACTATAACTTACTGAATGTCATTATTTGTTCTAAGAAAATAGCGAACAAATGGCATCATAAACGGTTATAGATACAGAAAAATAAGGGTATGGTCTGGTTATCAGAAAACGATAATAGAACATTGATGACGCTACCAACTGTGAATGCCATTCAAAATGAGATAACTAAGAGAAGGCCAAGCGAAAAAAAAAGGGAAAAAAAAAGTCATAAGAATCAGTCATATAATCTTTGATAATCATAATAGAAGAATATAATTATATTAAAAGAACGAATTAGTTAAGAAAATAAATCAATCGTATACTCAATATATCATCGATTAATGTCTGAAGATGGTCATCGAAAGCAAGAAAATCTTATTGTAGAAAGAGTGTTAGCAAGTATATCAACTCTAATTCAGACGATTGATCAAACATGCACATTTAGTCAACAATAAGTAATGATTAAAGAATAAACATTGAGATTTTTCCTGTTCTGTGTTTTCTTCCGGAAAATATAATTTTCATGTTTAAGCAAAAAGAAAAACGATTGAACTGTTTGATTGTTGAACAACGAAAAAAAAACACAACAACAAAAGAAAATGAACTATAAATAGCATATAACTAAAGAAGTATATGAAAACTTGAGCAAATCTTCTTGTACAATGTCAGTATGAAGTATAGTGAACTAAACAAAAACAAAAAAATTAATAAAAGAAAAATTTGTCTGATAAATATACATACAATTGTAAATTGAACATTTAAAAAAACCAGAGAATTAATTTTGATTCTCTTCAATTTTCTTTTTTTTGTTCAATTACATTTTCTTTACTATTACTTCAAACTGTGCAAGACTTGATTGATTGTTTGATATTATTTATTTTCTTGAAACTAAAAGAAAATGAATTTTTTTCGTACGATTGTAAAAAAGGTTCATTTATAAAATTCAATACATTAATTTTTCTTTATATTAGAAAAAGACTACTACTTATGAAATCTTTAATATTAGTTTCAAACTATTTTGGGATGTAAATGTTTATATGACGCTTTCTATAAAAAAAAGTTGTTGTGTGTCAAATAATTCAATTATTGATCAATGATGCAAAAGCAAATTTTCTTCTAATTTAATCTACTCATTTGACATTGATTGTTCAAAAACAATTAAGTAAAACTACACATTTAGAATTACGATCTCGAAAAAAAAATATTACAATGATTACAATTATCTCTTGTATTGTTATATAAAAAAAAAAAGTTTTATTATTATCTCTTCTATTGTAATGAAAAGCTCATAATCGATTGAAGCATCTCACATCTTTTATTACATGATATTCAATCCTATAACAAGCAGTTACAATCATTTATCTAGTGCAAATCAATGCTATACGTAATAACTCTTTAGCGTAGTTTCTTCTTATTATTATACTTAAACATCAGTCCTTGCGATAAAGCTTATCCTATCATTGGATTTTCCAGAACAATAATTCTTATTTTGACATTTGACTTTTTCTCTTTCATTAGAAAATCTGCTAAAGCAATAAAGAGATGAAGAACACGTCAAATGATGTTGACATCTAGTAGGGAATATATTTCTTCCGAAAAGATAAAAGCTCCTTGATACAAAAGTTTGTTGATTCAACTTAAAAAGCTGTTAGTACAATCATTGCGGAATTCAAATATGAGACACAATGTTGCTGTTATTGCTAATCGCAGAAAAATTGTTTTATTATGCCTGTGACACAAAGAGTGGAGTTATATTACTAAGACATTCGTCGCGGTCTGTAACTGTATATAAAAACGCCTGTCGTAATGTATGACGAAGACAGAAGGAAGTGCTGGTGCGGTGTCTGTCTCGTCTGTGATGTGTTACTTCTGTCATTAGTCGTCCCTAATGCGCCTGTCATGATATGTCGATCTTGTCTGTCAGTGTCGATGAAGAGTACAAATTTCTACTCTATGTACTTCAGTATTCGTTGTGGAACGTATTTCACAAAAAGAAACTTTTTTTAAAACCTTTTGTGCAATAGATGCTGGTGAATAGTTTTTTGGAATGTATTGTAAACTTTGTTGATGATAAAATATTTGAGATGTTGTGTTTTGTTGAGGAATATACGATGTTGGAGGTGGTGGTGCTTGTGGCCAATCATCTAAATTATTCCAAAGGGTTCATATTAAATCAATAATTAAGAGGTTATTGAAATACTTAGTTCAATATTATTTGAACGTTGATCTTGATAATGTTGTATTTTTGATGATAGTATTTGCTGTTGTTCAATTGAATTTGTCATATTATTACGCATGTTTGAATATCGTTTAGGACGTCCAATATTCAATATATCAGTTGAAAGACTTGAAGTTGGACTTTCTAAAACAGAAGAGTAATACTTCAGAAGATTTTTATTATTATTGATTTACGTTGATTTTGTTGTTTTTGTATTAGATCTCGATTATTATGAATTATTTGAAGACGAGGTGGTAAATGATTCTTATTTTCATAGAATTCATATCTTTTTAAATTTCGATTTTCTTGTTGAGTTTTTCCACCTTGGTTATAATATTCATAATTATTTTTAAATCGACTATTTTCATTCGATTTTTCATCGAATCGTCTTTGAATATTTCGATTAGGATTATTATTATTATGAAGTTTTAGTATATTATCTTGTTGTTGAAATTGACTATTTGTAAAATTTCTTCTACGATGAAATATTCGTTCATCAATTTTATACGGATTATAATTATGTTGTTGTTGTTGTTGGCGAGATGTTGTTTGTAATTTTTCGTAAGTATTTATACTTCTATTATAATTGCCATTATGATTATTTGATAATGAACGACCGGAATTTTTAAAATCGAAATCATCTTTTCGATTATTATTTGAATTATTAAAATTTTTCAGTGGCACTCGTTGACGATAATCATGATAATATCGTTGTTGATGATAACTACTACGTCCTTGTTGAGATCGAGATATGTAATTATGTAAATGAAGTTGTTCTCTATCACCACTATTACTATATGTAAAGTATTTGTCATTAATATCAATAAAAAAATTGAATTCTTACGAGTGGACTACCCGAACTAATATCCACCTTTGGAGCCCATATGAAGTTCATGAGATCTCGATAAGAATAAGAAAATCCTAAAACAGTTTGTGCTCATCAATCTCGGGCGTTAAGTTATGAGGCATAAACAGGTTGAATGACTAGTGGAATATCTGAAAAGTTTCAGTTGAAAAGGATGTTTCTTTGTCAAGATATTGGATTCCAAACAACGATCGTTTGTCACATAAATCCAGTTTACTTGCTAAGTCAATATCTCGATAAAAGAATATTCTTTTCAGCTGAAATTTTCAAGATATTCTACTACTTATTCCAGTTGTTTATAGGCAAAAATATCAGATCAAAATACCATTATTTGATTTTTTGATAAATATCTCAACCTGAATCGAACATTCAGTAAACTAGTCATAACTCTACTCTAAAGACTCATAGGTACGAGCTTTTTCAAAATTTTTCTAGTCTTATTGAGATCTCCTTATAAATCAAATATGAGTTCAAACAGCGGATATCAGTTGCAGTAGTTCACTCGTTCAATGAAAATTACTCGAAATGATTACGATCGTGTTTATGCAATGGAGATCGAGATTTTAATAATTGTTCATCTCGAAAATACAGATCATGTTGCCATTTAGCATCTGAAGCTTTATAAAATCGATTATCATTTTTTGATATTTCTCTTAAAAAAAAACAAATAAATTAATTATATTGAAAATAATTAGTATTTTCTTATTACTGTTTTGATTGATCTTTTTCATTCAATGTTCGATCATCATGTTCATAAAATTTTCCTTTACGTGGAATATAAGCTGGACTTTGAGTATTATTATCGTCATCGAGTATATCCTTATTTTTATTAGATTTTTTTATATCATGAATTATATTCGGTACATTTTGATTATCATTATCATCTTCATAACCTTCGGAATGTTCATCATCTTGACGTTTTTTATTTATACGTCGAGGTTTAACCTTTAGATGTAATTCATCTTCATCCATAAATGTCTAAGATTAAAAAGAAAGAAAACAAAAAGAAAAGAAATCGAATGAAATTGTTTTAATTTATACTTTAGAAGAATCTTTATTTGAAATAGAATTTAATATAGATATATTCTTTATTTCATTGGATTCGTCTTCACTCTCCACATCTTCATATTCAGAATCATTTTCATCATACGATTCATTTACTATTATGTTAATAGAATTTTGTTTTAAATCGTTTTCCAATGTTGATAATCTTTGAATCGGCATTGAAATGATTTTTGATTCATCTGATAAAAAATTTAAAATGATTTACTCATAAAATTAGTAATTTTACCATTTGTTAATGACATTTTTTCTTGTTGTTGTTGATTAGTTTTACTTTTTATATCTTTATATAGATGATTTAAATCTGACATATTCTACGCAAAACGATTTACTATTACAAACTAGCGGTATAAGACCTAGAAATAGATAAATAATTAACCAATCAAATATTGAGTATTCAAATATTCAAATATTCTTTTAGATTTTTGATATATTTATTTAAGATTAACATTTATTTTTTATTAACAATTTGTATGTATTCTAATCAATCAAAGATTTTGATTGGAAATAAGAAGGTCGTATCTTAGCAACGAATATGTGCAAGGAAAGAAGACAGCCACTTTATCTATGTCATAAAAAAACAAAATTTTTCTTTACCATGGTTGCTCGAACAGCTCGTGAAATTCTTCGTTGGCTCGAAAGTCTTTACCTTACATATCCTATAGTTGTACCAAAGTGGTATGTTATATTCTTGTGAAAACACTTCAATTTTCTTCTTTAAAAACAAATACATCACTTTACATTCTTTTAATTTGAAGTTGCCAGAATCTATATTTGAATAATATAAAATCACTGGATACTCTTAGTAGAAATGAATATTTATTTATATTTGCAGGGATCTGTCAAATGGTTATGCTTATGCAGAAATTTTACATGCTTATTTTCCTAATGAAATAAATTTGTTTGCTTTTATCAATGGTCGTTCATTGAATTCTCGTTTATTAAATTGGGCACTTATTAAGCAATTTATAGCAAAGAAAAATCTTCCAATTTCAAATGACTTTATTGACGCAACAATACATGGTAAAGATAGTGGAGCTGAACAATTACTTGAGCAAACATATGAATTATTAACAAATAAAAAGTAAATATAGTAACAGACAAAAGCCCTTCCTCCCGAATCAATCTCAACTTTCATGCATGCAGGAGATCTGGATTATGATGAACGGCGTCTATGTTCGCTAGAAGCCTTTTGATTATTGGTATACCGTTTCTCTTCAGAAGAAAGTTCTTTTCTAAGACTTGTACGCAATAATGTTTAGTTACAGGCAAAGCTTCTCTAAAAGTTTGAGTTTGTTTGATTGAAATACTGCTCAATTAGCTAAGAGGGACCGGCTGACCGATGAAACTTTTCTTGTTAGAAGTATAAAGTTCAAAGAAAAAGTAAATGCTATCCATCATAATTCCCGTTCTGTTTAAGCCATCGGAGCAAGCTGATGGCTCTGATTTACATGCGTAGTAAATTATGTACGCACAAATTTTCAGATTTTCCACTACCTATGATAGCTGAGGTCTGATAGGAGAGGGAGAATTTCATCTACCATTGAAGTATAAATAGAATCTTTTCTATTTAAATCATTAAAATTTATTTTTTTAGACCATTTATTGATCCTTCATGTGAACGACCTAATGATTTTAGTGATAATTTCTATCAACAAAATTTAAATTATTTTGAACGATCACATACGTCAAAATCATTAAAAAATAATCTAAAAGCTACTGAATTACTTACTGATCCTTCGAATGCTTATCGAACAAAACGAGTTCGTTTGTTTTTTTTTTTTGGAAAAAATTTACTTTCATTTAATAATATATATATAGAGCGCAAATATTCTTGATCAATCGAAACTTGATCGAGAAAAAACTCGTATTGATAATCCAGAAAGATTTGATATTAAACCAACATTAGCTGAACGATGTTTACGAAAACCTCTTCGGCCTGATTCAAATGCTCAAGATTGGTATATAAGATCATTTGAATCTCGTGCACGTTCAGCAAATTCAACAACTAATAAAAGTAGTAGTATTAAACAACAATCGCGAGAACCTTCAGCTGATGTATTAAAGAAAAGTTCTATGTCACAACATCATAGTGGTATGTGAACTAAAGAGAAAAAAAACAAAACAAATTTATTTATATTCATAGATAAAGGAATGATTCAAGCAAATGAAGATAATGTATTCTATAAAGAAATCGTTTTAAAACAACATTCGGTACCATTAAGTGATCTTTTGCAGATAAACGAATCTTAATATTTATATTTATTTTTTTTACTAATAAAAAATAAACATCCTTTATTAAAAAATCATTCGAGAGTGTCCCATAATAACTGAAAGTAAATTGTCAATGACATTATTGATAGTTGTTCTTGAAGTAAAAAGCTGAAGTTTTTATTACATATATGAATGAAGAGTATAGCAATTGTACTGTTGTGTTTCGAAAAGAAGAATGCCTAATATCAAATTTCCATTTGCTTTACTTTTCGAGAAATCATAGCAACAGTGTCAAATACCTATAGCTTCTAACGTCATCTGTCGAAAGGAATCGAATTTTTTAAAATTATTTTTGCGGCTGAAGTTGTTGAACTTGTCAAGAACTTACAGAATATGTCTTTAAATTTAGCTTTTCGACGAAGTTTTACGAATATCATTGGCTTGTAATGGATTTGATTCGATATTAAAGAGATGTAAAAGAGTTTTGTTTCATAAAATTCGTTCATAGGAATAGTTTATACAAAAGTAAAATGACGTATATGGCACGTGTAGGGCGACTTTTAAAATTTTTTATTGCTATAGCTCAAGGTAGCATAACGAAATCAGCTCTGTTTCGAGACCTGTTTTACAACATCATCATTGTCGTATCTTTATTATATTAGAAAAGATATCTAGTGAGTGTTAACTTGACAAGGCTCTCAATGACAGAATGCATTTATCAGTTGTCGTCATCCATAATCGCTGAAGTGTATTATGAATTTCATCAAAATAAGTGATATGCATACTGATCCAAACGTCGATACAGGGATGTCTTGAGAAAATATTATTTTTCTACACATTCGGCATTGGTCCATCAAATACAACATTTAGTTTTTCTCTTATTATTGAGTTTCTTTTGATGCTTTTTTCTCGAGCGGTTCAATGACTATGCTCTTTACTCATATATCTAATCAAGATCTTTAATTTTCCCAAATTTCAGCTCTCTAACTAAAATGAATGCTGAAATGTATGGACAAGATGAAAATACAAGAATTTTCGTATTTGATTTTTGTGACATCTTTGCTTCTAGATCAGTGATATTTATAAAAATCTGACGAAAAGGAAATTCGCAGAACTAATTTTTTCAAAATCGTAAATTATAACAAAACTTAATTGGTATTAACATGCTCTCAATTGCTTTCTATTACCAATTATAATTGATAAGGTGTTTCATCTATCATTTTTATTTCAAAAACTTCCTCTATTCTGGTGCATTTGCTTTTTCTAATTCTAATGATTTATCCAACACTCTCGCGAACTTTTTTGCTCAGTACACCTCACACATTTTCACTTCTTCATACGTCAATATCTTTATCATCTCTATTTACTGATTCTGTACGTTCATTAAATCATTATGCTGCAAATCGTGGAACCAATAGTTCATGTTGCTTTGAGACAGTTGACGGTATTTTCTGTTTTCATAACAGGTGGATATTTAGGATAAATTTTGTCATTAAATCTAAAAAAATTTAGATTTAAATCCTTTCTATATAGTTAAACAATCCTTGGCCCATATGTCGTGATTGACTATGTAGTAAAAGGCAGGTGCGGTAATTCATGAATGTTTATCTTGTCTTCGTTTTTCAGCAGTAGTTGTAGCTAGAGAACTGAAACTTTGGAAAATCAAATATATTGGCTAGATATAATTATGATAAAAATTTCAGTCTTCTACATCAAGAAAAAATATGAAAGAGGTCGTTGAGAATTTATCATTAGCTATTATGGAACATTCTTTATTAGAATACTGTCATAAAAAAGCGAATATATTGTCTTTCAGAATCTCTGATCAACTGGGCTGGTCTAATTCAATTTTGATTAATTTTTCGCTGATTCAAAATCAGTGAAAATGACACTGTTTTTATCTAGTTTGAACCAGATTATTTATTTTTAATTGATTTGAATCTATCATTTCCTTTTTTATAGGTTTTAATCGCAATGATTGTAAACATGTTTTTTCCTTGTTTTATTGTCGAGCACAAGTTACATGTCGAAATAGGCATTTCAATTTACACTTATTAGAATAATGGAAAATTTCAATAAGTCAGATTAGAGTCAATTATATTATGTTTTGATCGATTTTAAACCAGAAAAAAATGTTAAAAGAGTCAGACTTTTTTTCTGCTTTTATTTACATAGATTGCGAGCTTTGACTCACAGATTGATGATAGTGTATGAACAGATTCTTGAATAAAGCACAAAATTCTTTAGAAACATCGTGTATCATTATTCTACAATTTCTTTCTTCGAAAAAACTCATTGAGCCCTTTCGTTATTCAAATATATATGCAATGAAGAGCGAATAAATTCACAAAAGACAATAAAGAAAAAAAATAAAATTCGAGTAATAATAATTTATCAACAAAAAAAGGAATGCTAACATGCGGGTACAAGATCGACAAAATGTTAATACCAATTTTTAGTTGTCGATTCACGTTGAAAAATTTTGTTTTCATTTAACAAAATGTCTTTTTTTTTGTGTTCCTCTTTCACAAACAAATTATGGTTAAATTTATGCAATAAAATAATATGAATGATGACGAATAACGTTGATTAGAATAACAAGTCAAATTATCTTTGGGAAAAATTTTTGCTCGATTAACGGTCCATGGACTGAAAAAGTTTTGAAGAAAAAACCGTCGATGAACTAGGTCGAAGTTCGAATAACTGATGAGTCGACTTTGATAAGTCTAGGCTAACCCATTCAGAAGCCTGTCGTGTTTTATTTGATAGAAAGAACGAGAACTTTCAATGACTCATCTTTGTAAGAAAACGATAAAAAGAAAAGAAAGGAAAAAAAGATGATTCAGTAAAAATTCTGAATCACAAACACTTTAGTTATTTATCTATAACTAGCTACTTTATTTAACATTTACACATTAAAAATAGCAAATGGTGTCTTCAGTACGTAA